AATTTACTGCAAGTCATCAAATCGTCTTAGATGTCGTAAAATATTTTATGCGTACATATTTTCCGGGTTTATACGAAAATGATAATGTTCCTACTTTTTTGGCGGAAGCCTCATTTTGAGGCTCCACGTAATGAAAAATATCCGTTCCGTTCTCCTTTGGTATTCCGGCGTTTGGACGATTGTCGGGAAGCGATTTGAACAACTCTAACGTCGCTTAGTCCGCAACCAGTCCACATCCAGCACGTACGGACACTCTTGCCCGGGACTAAGGTGCTCCTTCGCAAATCCGTCTGGCCGTCCAGCAGCGGGCAACGGACTGAATACCAATTTCCAATTTGTCCGGGCATATCGGCCGGGCGCTCAAGGGCGTGACACAAATGCCAGATGCAATCAGCGGATTGCGAAGGAAGACGCTCTTCAGCGCAATCTCCGTGTTAATCCACGATCATCGAGTGCGGTTATACCTTCCCCGCAAGTAACTCTCCTTCAATCGAACCAGAAGGGTGGTTTACCTTAGCTTATAACGTTCTCTTTGCATCTTGAGACTCCTATAGAAATTTCCCTTTTGAATTTTTCTCTTTTTTTTTTTTTTTTTTTATTTCTTTTTATCTTCCCAATTTATCTCTCGCTAAAAACAACTTGCGGAAGATTTCAATCAAACAATCGACGAATATGGAAAATAATATTTTTGGGACACTTTGCAATTATGCAAATGTGATGATACCATGTGCAAATAAGGCGACACTAGATTGGAATCGAAGAGGTATCGAAAAAGGACGTCGACCCGACAACACGAAGCGAACGCGAAGGGATTCGCTCGGTTTTCTTTGGGGCGCTCCCGCCACCTCAATATTGTCGCTATCTCTTGTATACAGTTGCCGCCATATTCCGCGGTAAGACGCCATATTACCGGAAACTTCCACCCCCTTTTATGTTGGCTTGTCGCGGACCATCTCCGCGAAAACTACCCCCATAAAAGTTGACGACTTAAATCGCGAGGCGCGTATGCCCCGTCAAGGGGAAAAGGAAGAAACCTCGAACACTGGCGCGGATACTTGCGAGATTTTTCCACGTAATCTGAAGTATGGTGCATCGTTTTGAGCGGAAGTACTAATAAAAAAAAATCGACGAGACAAAACTTTTTTCGGATTTAAACCTCAAAGATAAATTTTATCGCTTTTTCAATATTTCGATATTCGATTTAAAACCGCGATCTTTTGTTTTCCAAATTATTATACGCGATAATGTATATTAATAATAGAATAATTACCAATATAATTAAATGTGTAATATTATTTGATATATAATTAAAATTGTCATCGCGAGAATTAAACGCGCGTATGTGCAGCGCGCGAGCGCTGCTTGAAATGACAAATTTACGTTAACGACTGAATTTGAAAGAAAAAAAAAAAATTACGATCTCACGAACGCGCGTGTCTCTCGCGCGTTTGGGAATGCAGAACCGAACGAGATGAGCGAATTTACGATTCGTCTCGGAAAGGAAGGACTTTTTCTTCCAACAGAAACACTCGTGAAAGAGACATTCGATTACGATTCCGCGGGACTTTATCATCATCGTCCATAAATTCTGGGTTCGCGCAAAAGCAATCTGCGCCGGCAGTGATCCTAATAACCGCCGCGACCATTCGTTCCCGCGGAGAAAGAGAGTGAGTCGTAATCCTAACCGAAAGACATTCGGCAGAAAAGAAGACGGAAGAAGGAGCGCGCCTCGAAGTGGCCGTAATGAAGTAGATCGAGATAAATATGGAAAGGAGGGCTTAAAGTAAATGACGATCTCTGGGCCGCCGAGAATCCCGTCTCAATATGCTTGAAAGTGTTTCTCGCTGACGTGGCGTTTCGGAATTGAACGTTCGGAAGATATTAGTTGGACGTCTAGAACGATTGATGACAGTACACACAACATCGACGGAACTTCGTCTCGACTTCTTCGAGAAATCGCGATATAAAAATGTCTCGTCTTTTATACAAGACGATTAAACAACAACAGAATGTGTAAAAAAAGAATAACATTTACACGTATTACAAACATTACGAGAAAATGTTTGCGATTTTTTTTTTATTATTTTCATCGAATATTATTTTTATTTCTGATTTTGTGTATTTCGATAAAATATGAACGCTTTTAAATAAACGCGAAGGGCGCCGCGTTTCGGCTTTTGCGGCTAATATGACCGATGTATGTATGAGGCCGCGATATGTGTAAGGGGCCAGGGGTGCATAAATATGTGCGTATGCGTCACCGCACGCATAAGTGCCGATGAGGGGATTTGTAAATGATCTTAACGTTCCACGTCAATCACTTATGCGCCGTTCCGACACGCGCGAGCACGCTCGCGTACAGAAAATTGGAAGGTTTCGGCTTACACAAAAGGGTTTTGTTAACCGCGACGTAATCTAATTTCTCTAACTACTCCGTGAACGCACATTTCTTATGCAAATTGAAGAGGATGCTTTCGCGAAAATAGTTTCTTTTTTTTCTCTTGAAAATCAAAAACTTCTCACGTTGTTTTCATTGACAGATTGGTATTTACCGCAGATCCATCCATTTATACTTAGTGTTTTGTCGGCAGGATATTTCGATCAAGAAAAAAAAAACGAAAGAATCGCGCGTCGAATGCGACGCGACGCCAGGATCTCCACACGAGGATCCGCGAGAGGAGAAGTTATCGCTTCAATGATATATGTATAACGGGGTCGCGTTTTATATATATATATGCGGTAAGGTAAAGTTCTTTCAAGACGCCGGAAAGCGCGCGCAAAAAGAATCTTTTGGAAGACGTTGCGGCGGCGGCGGCGGCGGCGGCGGCGGCGAAAAGGGGGAGGCAAAATTACGTCAAAAGTCTCGAGAATTTATCGGAGCACTTTTTAAACTCCGCCTTCGCGCGATTAGCATATTATTTCTATGGAAGACGAGAGAGGAGCGAACGCGGAGAAAGAGCGCGCGGTTCTCTTCTACATCCTCGCCCCGCGAAGGGTTGTGGGCGCGAGTGGTGTGGGGAGCATATCAAATATGTTGATAAATGATCCCTTTGAGCGATGAATAAGCGGCGTCGGGTTCGTACGTATCCTTTTTCGTCGGCGTCGGCGTCGGCCAACATTTGAATGTCAGAAGGAACGCGCCCGTTACGCGTTGGCGTTCTCTCGATATCTCCGCCCCGCAACATCAAAATCACCACATAACACCCGTCGTAAGATCTTCCGCCTCTCGTCGCGAAACGTTCGGGCGAAATGAAACGCGAAGAAATTACGCAAATAGATATCCTCGATACGAGTATCGCCGATTGTTGCGGGTGCGGGTTGGAATCGAACTTCGTTGTTCGGTGTCATGCTATTGTCTCATTTTTTTTTATTCTTTACATACCTTTATATGCGTCTGTGTATGTCAGTTTAGTATGTCATATCTACATTATATTGAAAATAATATTTACTTGCGTAGTATTTGTTTTAAAATATTTTTAAGATAAAGTAAGAATTTGCAGGAGATAGGATTCTTTTACAATGAAAAGACAACACTGAGTTTCTTTGATCCTACACTGGCGCGAAAAGACCGGAAACCGATTTATGTTGGGTGCTGATGCAAAACAGCCGTATTTCCGTCCCGCCAATCAGTTCTGACCGCTCGTCCTTTGATAATCTACATACGATTGGTAGAACGCGCGCAAAAGATAGCAACAATTCGAAATTTTTGGCACGGGATACGTGTAAAATATCGTTTGTGTATGTGTATGTGTCACGCTTCGCGAATTAAATGCATATTTCAATAATTGTAACCGTTAACAGATTTCGCGAGATATACGCGTCCTCACGCGCGTTAGTAAATGCGACGAGAGATTAATATCCAGAATTTAATTAACATAATAAAAGGAATATTGCGGAAATGCAATGAAAATATAAATGTGCGCGAGCACGTCTCTGCGAGATTCAAAACTAATTTATGTCGCGCAAAAAAAAAATAATACGCACATTTGTATATAATTCTACTGATAATTATCTACGCAACATACACATACATCATGTGTACATAATAATTTTGTATACAATGTAGAGAGAGATCAAACGTACAATAATATTATAATTTAATAATATCCTCTTTTTTAATCTCTTTTTTATTTATTCTACGCTTTGTAAAAAAGTAAAAAAAAGATATATGTAAAGAGAGAGAGAAAGAGAGTTCTTTCTTTGTCAATAAACAAATAATTACGAGCAATTGTTTATGCAGAAAAATTATTTCTAAACATTATTGTATTATCAATTAATAACAATATTTCACACGCCATTTGCATTATAAGTTCTAAAATTTTAAGTTAATCACAGAAAACATTAATATTAATTATCTTGTATTAGATTGCATTTGGTAATAATGTACCAAAACAGTCGGTAAGTTAACGACATTCGAATCGATGCGATCGTTATCCTTGTTACCGACAACTAATCTTTTCTACTTGTATCAACCACGAGTAAGTTATCTATAATTCTTCGACTTTACCGACGGTGTAAATCATTACTAAAAGTCGATGCTACAAAATTCGCGCGCATTTCCGCGAGAAATAAACTTCGAAATTTCAAATCTCATTGCACTTATCGCATATCGAATATTTCTCCTAACAAATAATTGTGCTCAAACTTTCCAGCACAAACTTGACTTATCATTGATAATACAATATTATTTTTAGATATACACACGTGTGTGTGTATGATCTTTCGCAATCGAAAATAATGTTTACAAATGACGCATTTTCGAGTGCAGATAATAAACTAAGAGAGAAGCACTCACCGATTCAAGCGATGCGACTGTAGCGGAAAATTCTGAGATGAAAAGCGCATCCACTCGATTGCCATTATCGATTCGATGTACACTATGTTTTAAATTTAAACAAAACTTTCGACTCTTGCGCGGTCCAAAGAATCGGCCGGGCGGCGCGCCGCGCGTTGAAAATAGACGCGACGATAGGTATATATCACGATAGGAACCGACTTTATTTTCGAACGGCGGCCGTTTTCATTCTCGCTCGACGGATTCGTGACTCGGCACACGCGTCGCGACTAAAGAATTTAGCATCCGGCACAAAGCTGCTTCTCTACGCGAGACGCACACAAAAAACGCGACGCGACGCGAAACCGCGCGAGCTTGACAAAGAAACTGACTCGAGTGTGTTTTAAAACGGCGAACATACTTGCGATATCGCGCGGTCGGCGGCGACACTTCAACGCGAAAAGCGACGAATTCGGTGCATTTTCGGCGATACACGACGAGATTTGTTTTCACAGTTCGAATCAGTAAAATACGGAAACGATACACAGAACGAGAGTTCAGCGGTGATTTGATCAGTTCGATGCAACATATAAATCGAAACTATCGAAAATATATATATTAGCGATTGCGACTATTGGCAGTAATAACTTCGCGCAATAAGGGACTCATTTCAGTGCATTTGGAGAAATCAATCATCGTGCAGCTGCGGCGCAACATTCAAAGCTACATATACATATATTTGGTAAATTGTCATTTTTTTATTCTTTACGTATCAAGTCATGTTTTTGAAAACACGTGTTAAAGTAAAGTCACGTGACTTTAGTGTTGTTTTTCCACTTCTCTTTCTCTCTCTTTCTCTGCACTTTTCAAGTTTTGTTAAAACAATATTCTATTTTGTTCCTTTTTGATGTTGCGTGCTTGTTTTGAAACACAAGAAGAAAAAGCGGCAACTTTCCGTTTTGGATTTTTGATAAAAATTAAAAAGATATTAAAGAGAAATAAACTATTTTTTAATAAAAAAAAAAATATAAGTTTTCTCTCTTTATATCTTTATATTTTATATTTTATATTTTTTCTTTAGAAATGTAACTCTCAGTAAAATATATGTGTATATGTATTTACGATATTGTGTGTCATAGACATCTCTCTCGACTACCTAACGATTTTTACACTTTTCTCTGAGCGTATATAAATTTTTTTGCAATTGCTGCGTCATGCGTAATAGAAAGTAATCGATAACATCCGCCGTAGACAGACAAATGTCAGTAAACATTTAGTTGATCAGCACAGCGCCGTGCGACGTCTGCTAGAGCAAAATCGATTCTTTTGGTCAGCAGAAGTTGAGCTATAGGTTATGCATCGTCGTTGAACGTAAATAAACATTGTTTTAAGTCGCACGCTGTTGTATCCGTTGTATCTTGTAAAGACACAACGCGATGGCCGCCCAAGAGCACGTTGCTCTACTCTTCGTCGTTGCTCTCGTCGCATCGTTGTCAACCTACGGCAATGCCGCTTCCGCACACATTCACACGCATCAACATAACAAACTCAACAGCAACGAGAGGATGGAAGACGGAGCATTCAGTCCCCGTGATAGTGATCACTACACGGAAAATGATCATCATCAGGAATTTGATCATGAAGCCATTCTAGGTAGGTATGAAGGAGAAGTGACTGAATAAAGAAAAAGATATCTAGAATGTATTTTTGTGGAATATTTTTTCTGTCTCAATCCATCTCACTTTAGATTCCTTTGGTTTAGAAAACTAGTTTTGTTTGGGTCTTTCTCAATTATTTTACTTGAAAGTTTTGTTAAATTGACTTTACTATTATCATAAATATTTAAAAATATTGATTAAAGATGTAAAACTTTCATATATGTGAGAACATCTCTATTTTATGAAATTTTGAAAACTACTAGTGAGCACACACCATACACGCACAAATGTTATTTTTGATTGACAATTTCTGATTTATATTTAATCTTATTTTGTGCATTCTATTTATCTCTATACAGGAAGTGTAAAAGAGGCAGAAGAATTTGACAGACTTCCAATAGAAGAATCCAAGAGGCGATTAGGTATTTTATTAACAAAAATGGATCTGAATGATGATAAATTCATAGAGAGAAATGAGCTGAAAGCCTGGATCTTGCGTTCATTCAAGTATGCTATTAACATTTTATCAATTAAATTGATTGATTAATTGAGAAGTTTAAGAGTTATTAATTATGTACATTTTGCAAACAGCATGCTTTCTGAAGAGGAATCTCAAGATCGCTTGGAAGATGCTGATATGGATAAGGATGGCAAAGTGAGTTGGGATGAAATCCTGCAGGATACCTTTGGCCAGGATCCGGAAGATTTGGCTCTGGAAGACAGTGCGATTCAAGATGACAAAGACACGTTTGAGGCTGCTGATTTAAATAAAGATGGATATTTAGATACAGTGGAATTCAAAGCTTATACACATCCTGAAGAGACTCCTAGAATGTTTCCACTTTTATTGAAGCAAGCTTTGGAAAAGAAAGATACAGACAACGATGGATATGTTAATTTCCAAGAGTTTATTGGCGACAGAGGCAAGTACAAAGATAAAGAATGGCTGTTGGCTGAAAAAACTACGTTTGATTATGAACACGATAAAAACGGAGACGGCAGACTGGATTCGGATGAAATTTTGTCTTGGCTTGTTCCGAGTAATGAGTATGTACACATCCTCTGTAATATCTATTATCAAATAAGTCAATACTTATGACATAATAACGCTGTTTATTTCAGAGAGATAGCGAATGATGAGGTAGATCACTTATTTGCCAGTTCCGATGACGATCATGACAATAGATTGTCGTTTGATGAGATTTTGAACCATCATGATATTTTTGTGGGCAGCGAGGCAACGGACTTTGGTGATCATTTACAGGACATAGAGCGTTTTACCGATGAGCTTTGAGTGTCACTAGTCGATTAGACTGATATATTTTATCTTTCATAATACTCATCAGTGACTCGTCATATTGTAATTGAAAGTATTTTTAATACACTGCTCAAAACAACAACTACATTATAATATATATTTATATTATATGTATATATACATATATTGTGTGTATATATATATATATATATATATATATATATATTCTCATAAAGACTTTTATATAAATAATCTCAAATATTTTTCAGTGTTATAAAAAAGCTACAATATATAATATATAATATATAACATATATATATATATATATATATATATTATATATATATTATATATATATTTATATATATTTACTAAACGCTATAAGAGATTGTGAGCAGAAATACTTGAGATTCAAAATTCCATTTCGTCACCTTCGCTTATCTAAACAGATGGATGTTTTGAGCAGTATTGTTCTTAATGCAGGTCTTATTTGTGTTGTGATTTATATATTGATACAAAAATCAGTAGAACAAAGTATTTAATGTCACAATATATACGAGTGATCACTGGAATTTGCACATTGCATAAAGTCACAATTCACAAGTAGTAGCGTCACACAAACTACTGTCTTCCAGTTTTTATCGCGAGTGCCATACTAAAGAATATGAAGAAGCAAATTAGACCAGGACAACATCGTGTTTCCTATTGTGTATGATATGTATAGAGAACAGATCATTAAGTTTGACTCCTATCCTATATTATTAGAGTATTACACCTGTAAATATTAATATATATGTAATAATGCATCTAAAGCACAATTTTCTTTAAGTTTTATGGAAAATTACGGTAAATGTGTCATGCAATTTCCATTTCTTCATCTTTTCTATGTGCATTATTTATAAAAGCAAATTATCAATGACTGATGTGCGTATTGATTTGTAATAAAATATTTTATTATTTCCATGTGTGTTTTTCTATTAATTTTCTAATAAAAAACCTTTTCTTAATTTTATACGATAAGATTTGATCAAAATCAAATTTGAATTTTATTTTGTTAGAATCGGTCAATTGCATTCATCGAGAATCTGAATTAATCAATTGCGACATAATTGATCGAATTTATGCTACCGAAGTTGGTAAAACTGACTCTTAGGCCTTTAGGTGTGTTAGTTTTTTTTGGCTATTTTTATGATGATGGTGGATGTATTTAAGTGATATTGAAAATTTACGTAAAATGGCTATTAATGATAAAGAAAAACAGGTAGACATGTCACTTCATGAAGTAGAATGGAATGTAGAAAACGAGATTCAATTGTTTTTTGCCATGAACGGACACAAGCCAGTCGGTAAGATCAAAAACACTATGACAGTATAAGATTATGTATGTTTACATTGCATTATTGTACTGTATACAATCGTTACAACACTTGTATTTTAATGGATTATATATAAGGTATCAACAAATACTTTCATATGGTGTGCATATGGGAAAAATTTCGTACTGCGATTCACAAGAATGTTCCATTGAAACTAATTTGGAATCATTTGGAATCCATGTACGATCTTGTGGCTCTAGTAAGTATATAATCTTCTACAAACTCTCGTACATTTTAAAACCAGAGATACATCTACTAGAGTTTAATTTCATGTATATAAATTATTTTTATAGGACGATGTAGATTTACCATTTCTCAATCAAGAGATAGATTTTTCCTTGCCAGAGACGGAATTTATGGCAAAATCTCACAGAAAAGAAGAATCGGAAACAAAAGTAAAAGATCAGAGAGATAAACATAAAGAAATTAAAAAAGAAAAGGATGATAAAGAAAGTCTAAAAAAAGACAGTACTTTTCATGACATCAAAGGCAGTAAAGACATGGGAAAGGAAGAAACAAAAAAATATACCAGAGAAGTAGAAACAAAGAAAGATAAGTTCAAGGATATGAAAGATATGACAAAAGAGTATAAGTCTTTCAAAGGTCGTTTCAAGAGCAAGGATGATTTAGCAGATAATGGTATGGCTAAATTTTATGTTAAACCTCCTGCTTGTTGCAGGCATATTGAATTGTGACCAAGTTCTATTTATATTTTATTTTCTTTCAGCCTCAGATGAAAAAGAGCATAAAGATTCTGAATCTGTTTATGAACTGTTAAAAAGGATCCCTAAAAGATCAACTAGACAAAGTATGGATAATTCTAAAACTTCATGTTCATCTGACACACCACTATCAAAACGAAAAAGAATATAACAATAGTTGTAAATATAATGATCATATCTTGTCAAGTTTATGAAATTGATATTTTTATATCTCATTATCCTAATTAATGTGTACATAAAAATTTTTAACAATAAAACAAAAAAACCATGTCTAATTATATAAAATCTATATATGCACTATATATGCTGCTAAAAAATTGATACACACTTGTGCTCACAAAAAGGTGCTGTTTAAGACTACGTGATTGAGGAAATACAATAATAATAACACTGTTAGATTTGTGATCACCAGTCGAGGATTTATTGTAAATTATATTGTAGAATTCTTCTCTGACAGGAATGTTTTTAAATGCGAAACATGGATCTTGTTTTGGATCTTCTGTTTTCTCCAAAGGACACGTGGGCAGGGCTGCTTTTCATCAGCAATTGACATAACCATGAATCCTCTGCATGGAGAGCTTCTTCACAAGAAATCCATGGATGTTTAGGTAGGTGTCCGGCTGGCGACCGTTTTTTCAATCTTGATAACAAAAGATGGTCCAATATTATCGAAGTCTTCTCGCTTCACGTTCGGACTCCAGCAAGGTTAGCAGATCGCCTTCCCGCACCGGCCCCTTTACATTCCTGATAATTTGACGATTTTGTTCGCCCAGGAATTCCACTTTAACTTGAGTACATTGTCCTTGAGAGCCAGTACGGCCCAGGACTTTTATTACACGCGCTAATACCACGGGTTTATCCATGCTTTTTCCTCACGTGGCTACACAGTGAAAAATTCTCGCGTGTTCTCGTTCTGGCGCCTTGGCTTGCGCAAAATGAAAGAGAAGTTCATTTCCGACGAATCAAGCGGGTAATTCTCCGACTTGATGACTTCCGGTGAGTCGCTGTAAGACATGATGCAAGTCACGCTACACATGCTTCAAAGCACTCGTTCTATCTTTATTAAGGGCATTTTTCAGCTACGTACACGCCTGTGTGCGTAGCTGGAAAGCATCCTAAAGGCTGCGTTCGGAAACACCACTCGTGTGCACACGAGCGTCAATCTATCTTTGTTTTAAATCTAATGAGCAATAAAGATAAAGTGCACACGAGTGGTGTTTCCGAACGCAATCTAAATTAAACAAGAATAGAATAAAGCATGTTGGATATATAATTCAATTTACAAATTTTACATATATTTTATTCTTTTAATACACCTTGTTTTAATGCTTTGACAATATATATATCTTATATATACGATAAAATATTTATTAGATAAAGAAATGATCGAACAAACTACTTTTTTTTATACAACTAGCACAACACAGGCGCGCGCTACGCGCACGCTATTATTATTTTTATTTAACGTGTTGTCAGTGAACACAACCTGTCACCGCGATGACAGATAGTATATACGTCTTATAAATCATATAATATAGTACACATATGAGAAATGTCAGAAATAACGCATGAAAATCAAACTCAAAAAATAGTGAGAGAGAGAAGTGGAAAAACAACACTTGACAAGGAAAAGGGTAAAAAAGAGAATATTATATATATATTATATGTAATATATTCTATATCTATATATAGGCTGCTTTCCTTTTAGGAGACACAGTCGACACAAGTCGACACAAGAGTCATTCTGTCTCTGTTTCTCACTGAATACTGAACAAAGACAGAATGACTTTTGTGTCGACTTGTGTCGACTGTGTCTCCTAAAA